AAAAGAAGAAGTTTCTAAGGCCCGTATGCACGTACGTCCCCGCTGGGGAGGGGAGGGGAGCTGGATCCCCAGGGGAACGATCCCCTCCGCCGAACCCCGCCATGACAGAGGGGAGGGGAGCGATCCCCTCCCCTGCACCTAAGCGGGGATGATGTGAATGATTTCAGAGGTATTGATCGAGCGAACCCCATTGCAAACGAGGGTTCGATTGGGGGAGGGGATCCCTTCCCTTCCCCCACTCGAACCCCGTATGCGCGAATTCAACTCAATAACGCGGAGGAGGGGATCGACATCCCCTGCAACGAAGTAGGGGTTCGATGGTGTAGATCATGCCAGAGACGCGGATATTCTGGTTCTGCTCAGTCATTACCAAGCATTTCGTTTATTTTGATGGAGGATTTTCTTTGAAAGCCGGGTTCTTCTCTCAGCGACCTGTGGCTTGCAATTTGTCTTTCTTTTCTATATTCACCTCTTGAGAAGAAATCCGAGCAACAATAGCTGCCAATTTCGATTATTTGTAGGAGTTCTTGATCATTCAGGAAATTTGCGCATTTTTCATATAACATAATAGTTTTAACTATATAGGCTGAATATACACACTGTAACTTTCATATTTTATGACATGTTGCCATTATCTTGTTTTTTAACATAAGCTGCCTCGAAAAAATCTAGAAAGTAGCATATTTGCCTATTTCTGAGTAGAAATCCCCTGGGGAGTGATCCCCTCCCCAGCGTTCCCCTTGTGCATAGCAGGGATGGCTGCTGGGGATCATTCCCCTGGGATAAACGACGATATGCAGCTGATAGTTACAGCGTTTATGGAGAGCTGGCACAATTTGCAGCTTCTGTTATGTGTTAGAATACTGCTTTGAGCGTCCGCGCGGCACCCCCCCCCTTTTCGGCAGCATAACGTCTTCTACCCATTCCATTGCAGAGACACATCAACTTCTATAGTTCAACATTTTGACTCTGAAATGGAGCAGTATGAACGAAAGTGGGCAGCATCCAAGAAAGCAGGAACATAATGGGAGTAGAAAAAATCATTTTTAGCGCCCCGAGCGCAGTCACGGCATACGCACATTCCGCAACCCTAAATCAATTGAAGTGAGGAGATGAAGATGAGTTGCAGTCAAAATATGAAATAAGAAAGAGTTTTTCATAGAAAATTTGAAAGCAAGGTGATTTCCCCGCTTGATTCCCCTCTTGTGCATAAGAGGGTTCACTTCCCCTCCCCACAGGGGATCCCTTGTACGATATTGTCTTTGTGCATACGGGGATTCGCGCGGGGAGGGGAGGGGATCCCCAGCGGGGATCATTTCAATGGTTAAGCGCACATCCCCTCCCCGCGGGGATGTACGTGCATACGGGCCTAAAAGGGAACGTGTGACGGTTCTCGCCTGGAAAACTTTTCTGTTTGTGGCTGCAGGTACGAAGTTTGAAATATACCGCCAATCTTTTAGAGATTATAACACAACTCAATATTTTCTTAAAAACTATTTTTCGAAAGAGCTATGGTAATCCAAAGGTTGACTACATTAACGAGTAGCACTTTTGAAGCAATTCAATAGTATTAGGTTGGAATCTAAGTTTTGTAGGTTTTTCCGTAAGTTCTCTCTTTCAATTGCAGTAGTCATCTCTTTTTGAATAAGACGACAAGTGTGAAAGTAACTGTAAAAGTTCAAGAAGTGCTTGAAAGAAGCAAGTGATTTATATAAAGTCCAGCTTTTGTTAAGGGCTTTGAATATTCTGTTTTTTTTTTCAAATTAACATGACTCAAAGCCGTCTTGATAAAAGATGGTATGCTGACAGACGCACAATACAGCTGAACTTCGTGAGATTTGCCAGCAAAGAAAGCAAACTACGGTAATTTCTATAGTGAGTTTATAAATACGTCCAGCACTGTATGTAGCCTCATGACTCGTTCTGCGTATAGGTTGAATTTTAAGAATCGGATAATGGACATAGCCATTTCGGAACTTTGCATTTGTGAACGCAAACAGTTCCAACAAAGGGAACTCTAAATTCCTCACTTTAAATCGTTGCAACATTGAGCATTGATAATATACAATACCGCTCACAGAATGTGCAAAATTTCCGTAAATGTCGCAGAATTCCGAGAATTCCGCGAAGGTTCGCGAAATTCTGGGAATTTTGCGACATTCCCGGAATTTCGCGAACCTTCGCGGAATTCTCGGAATTCTGCGACATTTACGGAAATTTTGCACATTCTGTGAGCGGTATTGTACTGTCTGATGCAGAGGTTCTCTCAAAGCATCAACTCATTCCTTTAATTGTCACACTCAAGCAACTAAAAGCAGGCGTTCTGTCTGTTATTTCGCGTTCTAACTAAGAGAAGACGAGAAGCTTTGAGATTACTATGTAACTACGGGCCGCATGCAACGTCCCCTTCCGAGGAGGGGATCGCAGCGTAAATAAATGTTTCATATGCTGAAGCTTCAGATATCTGGATTCCACGCTGTCTACCTAAACGTAAGTATTCCTACTATCCTTAACTATGGAACTACTTGACAGGAACGAGACGTACAAGTCGCATATCTGAGCTTTTGTAGCTTTTGTTTAATCCCCTAGTAATCCACGGCGGCGACTTTCTTTTATTCAAATTCATTTTTCTTTGTTCAGAGATGTTAATCAAATTTACTGATTATCAATCCGAACACTGCTAAGCTGCTGCATCAATAAAATTCAAGATGAATCAAAAGTTGAAAGTTGGGTTTCGAAAATTTATTTCAGAAAATTCAACAACTCATTTGTTTTTTGTCAGCAACATGCTTAGCGCTGTTGGTTGAGATATTCCGTACAGTTTTGGAATGTTTTCGTTGACTTCGAGTGAAGAAAAATGACTCGGCCGCAATGATCAGGGGAATACAAAAAGCTAAAAAATGTGGCTTGTACAGCTTCTCATTCCTATTAATAGGTTCATAGTGAAGGGTAGTAGTAATACTCATTGATAAGTAAACAGTGTGAAATCCAGATATTTGGAACTTCAGAATGTGAAGCTTTTTTCTAAGCTGCAATCCCCTTTCTGATGGGGATGTTAATGTATACTTAATGTAGAACAGGTTTATATACATTGTTATGAAAAACTAGTGTCCGGAAGTTTTGGTGCTCAAATTGGCTTAGAAAAAGTTGAACTCGCTTATTCACATGAGTTTCCCATATGATCTCATAATTTGGTCTCTTTTACCATAGCGCTATAAGCACCAAGTTTGAAGCTACCATTGCATGTGCATTGCAAACAAGTAATTTTCTCGATTCCGATAAAAAAAATTTTCAGGAAAGAACTTATCGCATCTTTCTTTACAATGATTTTTCCGAATTTATTGTGAGGTTTTTCGATCAACAGTTTTTGTCTATATACCAAATTTGTTAGCATAATTTCACGTGTGCGTTGTAAACGAATCCTCGTTTCTGCTGGTGCACAAAAGCTCAATTTTTAACAATCGCTATGGCGTTTCCAGCAAGATCGTGTGTGAGCGCGGCAGTAGTGTAGCAATTTTTCGCCATTAAGTTTTACATGTCTTGGAGATACGTTGTGCATATGAATGTGTGATTGGGATTCCCCCTTTGTTTCCTCCCACAAACCGATTTCTAGCTTTAAATTTATCGTCCTTTTGCCGAGAGCTGTTTAGCTTTACTGTTCTTCTATTTCGTCTGGTTATTTACTATACAGCAAATAAACTTGAGGCAATGGGCCTGTAAACTTAGAAGGCAAAGGACTCTTGACGGTGCATGTAGAAATTTCGCAAATAAACGCTTGTTGGGGTTCTGTACATTGCTGTCAAATATCGCTATTACAGATGTTCTGTACAAAAGTGAGTCTGATCATTAGCCAGTTGGCTTGATTTGATGTATGAAGAGCATGTACAACATGCATCACACGTATATTATGAGTGATTTCATCTCACCAACAACATTTTACGCCACTTCTAGGAGTGATGCACATGCTTTCTAATTGTACGTACACAATTTTTTTCGAATTTTATGCAGATTCTACCGTGTAAGGGAAAATCTGAACGCTTAACCAATCACAATGATGATAGCACTGTCCAATCTTCCTCAGTGACAAGGTCTATGAGACGGTCCACATCCTCCACAGTGACAAGGTCTATGAGACGGTCCACGTCCTCCACAGTGACAAGGTCTATGAGATGGTCCACATCCTCCACAGTGACAAGGTCTATGAGACGGTCCACATCCTCCACAATGACAAGGTCTATGAGACGGTCCACATCCTCCACAGTGACAAGGTCTATGAGACGGTCCACATCCTCCACAGTGACAAGGTCTATGAGACGGTCCACATCCTCCACAGTGACATGGTCTATGAGACGGTCCACATCCTCCACAGTGACAAGGTCTATGAGACGCTCCACATCCACATCTGCATTGACAACAACTTGGTGTACATGGCGGAGACGTTTTAGCAGTAGAGCAAATAGTCTTCTCAGTAGTGGGACGGGTAGGCGGTTTTGTGTGTGAAGAGGTCCTAAGGGTTGGAGGAGGGGGATGCCCCTTGCGACATTTTTCATTAAAACAGTGCATTTGTGGATAGTACGGGCAGTCATCGTGTTTTTTGCATTTGATGTCGTTTCTGATGCATCTTCCTATGATGCAAATTCGGTCGAACATCGTAGAGACTGCGCCGTGCCTGCACTGTCTGTCTGTGTTGCATGGTTTTCCAAGGCTAATACATTGCGATTTTAGGCATCGGCAATGGGGATAAAAGAGACAGTCACTGTCCCGAGTGCAGCGACGACGCTTGACACAGTAGGAGTTTACGCAATCTTCTAAGCCTTGTTGGTACCCACTACACATGCTATCTTTGTGACACTTGCGACGCGGTCTACATTTGGACGAAATACATGCCGTATACGGATACCCAAAGCATTGTTGGTCTCGAATACAGCTTTTGCCTACGTTTTCTATGCATTGCGATCTCAAGCACTGCATCGTGGCTGGATATAGGCAATCTCGGTTTGTTACACAACGTTTTCCAACTGTGTTACATTTACCACCTCTTCCCTTCCCATCAAATACACATCGTAAACCTGGATAGACCGTACAATGCGAATCGTTCCAGCAGCGCCTATCCATGGCTGCGCACTGCCTGTTTATACAATGTACAAAATACCCTTCTTTACAGTCTTTGTCGGTGCTGCATGATTGGCCGATCTTTCTGCATCTGCCATTGATGCAAACTGCGTTACGGAAATTGGAGCACTCTTTGTTGTCCCATTTGCAATGCAATGGATACTGTATGCACCATCTGTTCTCACAATAAGCATTGAAAATCTTGAAGCAGTCCTTATCGGCTCTGCACGGGACTTTATCTTGACATTCCGAACCGATGCAAGTCATCGACGGAAGGCAATCCTTGTCTGTTTTGCAGTGCAATGGAGCCCTTTTACAGCGAAATTGAATGCATTTTATGTATGGGGTAAATCCACAGTCGCTATCTCTGCGACATGTTGGATATAGCTTTCTGCACTGTTTCTGTATGCAAAAAGTGCCGACATGATTCCTGCAGTCTTTGTCAGTGTTGCAGCTCTTTATTCTGACGCATCTCAAAGAGGAGCAAACAGTGTTGGGGTAGCAATCAGTGTCCCTACGACATTCCTTCACCTTTACACACTTAGACTTCAGACACATATACTCCTTCGGCAACATGCAGTCAGAATCAGACCTACACGAAATGGGCAATTGTGAGCATCTTGACTTCAAGCACACTCTTCGTGGATAAGGAAAACAGTCCGTATTGCTACGACAATTCTTCATTGCCACACATCGTGACTTTACGCATCCTGTGATCGGATAGAAGGGACAATTTGAATCTTTTGAGCACGGTACTGCAATTCGTAGGCAAAGGCCATGAATGCATTGCGCCTGTGGATAGGGGGGACAGCCACCATCATTCACGCATTTTTTGCCCCCTATGACACAGTAGCCGTAAATGCACTTCGCTTTTGATTCTTTGCAATCCTTATCGGCATTGCATTTGTCTTTCGACGGTGCTAGGAACAACCTAAATGCAAACAATAAAAGAAGAAAACAGGTTTCCAGGCCTATCTTAATCCTCATATTGACAAATGCTTATGTAATTGCACTACTCTTTGAATTTGTACTGGCATTTGAAGATACAAGTACGTGAATATCTTTTCATAGTGTGCAATCGTCTTGGTGTCATTTTTCTAATGTTTTGTAATGTTCGTCTTAAAAAGAAGACAAATCAAACAAACCCAAATACTTTTGTGTTGGTGACAAATACCCAGAAGGGTTCTCTAGAAGAGAACCTCAAGTTAACTTGTTCTTTCTGCCAAAAAACCTATTGTGGTTTTGCTTATACTTTATATGTTAATGGCGTTGTCTGCATTTAACTGTTAAATACTATGCGCTTTGAGATAAAGTATGATAAATCCAAAAGACATCTAATCTATCGCAAAAACTAGAAAGAAATGTTAAAAACTGGTGAGTTTGAGGGAAACAGCAATAAGTATTTGAGTTCGCATCTGAAGCGTCAAGTTCAACCTAGGAAGGGCATATGCATTTTGAGGATGAGGTTGCTCGGCCATCGGCTGCTATTTTAAGTTGATTTGATTAAAAAGTTATTAAATGGACTTATGATATACACAGCTGATAGGAGGAGACTGAGAGAATTCTTCCATGCTTACACATTAGCGATGCTTACCAAAGTTGCAACTAGATTTAAGCCACACACTACTTGAAATTCGCTATTGACAAACTTTCGATACTACGATTGTCTGTGTCTATCACAAATGAGTACTCTTTCATCGGCATCTTTTTGAGTGATCGTTTTCGGACCTAGTTCTTTGTTCACAATGGCTATGATTTCGCGAAAGAATAGTCTATACGCAAGTCATGTACAATAGTACAATATGAAGAGCGATTCTCAACCAAGTCATGTTGCTTTTGCAGATCTTGAGAAGATCATAAAGGACCTCTAGTTAGCGTTGGCAAGCAGTAGTCTTGCCTAAAGTCCAGCAGTTTTTCATGTTGGCTTTGAAATGACAGAATGGATTGCTTAAGGATTAGCGTGACCCTATGACGTCGTATTCTAAGGAGCATGTGATTTTGTGAGTTTCATCATCCAGACGAGAGGAAAGATTGGGTAAGGGAATCTTGTCTTCGCGAACTTTTCACAATTACCACGTACACATATCTCCAAATCAACATCTCGATATCATTACCTTATAATGAATCAAACTAATGCCCACATTTTAATGAAACAAACTCACGTTCCTATCTCAATGTTTGGGGGTTGATGCAAATGCTTCTAAAAAAATGTCTCAAAACAGAGAGAAAATGAATACTTGAATGCACATACCTTGTCACAGTGACCATATCTGCAGTATGTGTTCGGGTAGTAAGGACAATCTTTATCAACCTTGCAGTTCTGTTGGAGATGAACGCACATTTTGTCAATGCATTGCACATTTGGATAATAAGGGCAAGTGACATCTGAGGTGCAAGGCTGCCGAATCTTGACACAGCTGCGGATGACACAGACTACTTCGGGATAAAATGGACATTCTTTGTCTTGGCGGCAGGGTTGATCGACTTTTCTGCATTGCCTTGCGATGCAGAACGTACCCGCATATGTTTTGCAATCTAAATCTCTTACGCAGTTCAGAATTTTGACGCAGAGAGAATTCAAGCAGAAAGTCGATGGTCGGTACGGGCAATCCTTGTCCACAAGACAGAGCTGGCCATATTTTACGCATTGGGATTTTACACAACCTACACCAGGTGCTGAGATGCAGTTTGAATCTGTCTTGCACTGCTGTCCCAATTTTGTGCATACTCGATTAAGGCAGTAAACCATTGGGTCAAGTGGACAATCTGAATCCCTCCGGCACATTTGTCCTAGCCTGTTGCAGCGTGAAGCAACGCAGTAGGTGGATGGATAGCGCTTACAATCATCATCTTTCTTGCATGAGACTGACTTTATACATTTAGAGTTGAAGCACATAGTGTGCGGTTGTGCTGGACAATCTTTGTCAGTTGTACATCGACTATTTAAGTGATAACAATGACCCAAAATGCAAATAGCATTGCCTAGACATTCATTATCTGAATTGCAAAGCCGTTCGACGCTAAGACACTTCCTGTTGACACAAGTTTTACCAGGATATCGTAAACAGTCACTATCTGTGTTGCATGTGTCCGTTCTCCTACACTGCGAGTTCGTACATCCAACTTCAGGATAGAAAGGACAGTCTTGGTCTTTGTCGCAAGTCTGCGGAAACTTGAAACACTGTAAATGGATGCACTGTGCTCCGGGATATTTTGCGCAGTCTCGATCCTTGGTGCATCTTACTCCATGTCTTACGCATGCTCCACGAAAACACTCAGTGTTTGCATAATCCGAGCAGTCTCTGATGATTCGACATGGCTTTCTATCAGGCAAAACGAAAGCTCTGAAGCGATAAGACGACTTAGGAGGAAGGTACTTTCATCCCATATCAAAAGGCCGTGGCCTTTTGATATGGGATGCATATCATCTGAAGCAGCTTCGAACGCTGATTTTAAATCTGCTTCCCTTTTCTGCGGAGCGCTCTTCTTAAGAGAGTTATGGAAGCCTGAAAATCCTATTTTGGGGCGGTCCTTAAGTTAGAGAGCGCTGCTATGTGCTTTTGTGGTACAGTGGTGTAATGGTTTGTTTTTGGCATTAAAGGAGAAAGGCCGACGGTTCGAATCTAGTGCAGAGCGTACCATTTTGCGTTCCATTAGGAATGTGAGTTTAAAAACCACTCTAATTCGTTTACAGAAATTCGTTTACAGACTGCGAGACTTACATAATGCCTTGGTAAATGTGATTTAAGGAAAAAATTTTCTGGCAAAACCGCTCGCTTGTTGAGATTTGGTTTTCTCCGCAAAAAAATTCATGTACAGAGGTGAAGCGAAATTACAAAGTGAGCAAAACACAGACATTTCTCACAACGGGAACAGCGTATGAAGAAAACCTCCGCGCAATTCTCATGCTCGCGAGTACCCATTAAGTTACTAGGGGAACAATATTGGAGTGGCATTTCAAATAAATTCAAAACCTTTCAAATGAATTCATTCAAAACGGATTCGAACCATCGACCTTTCGCCCTCAATTCCAACAACAAACCATTACACCACTGCACCAACAACGCACGTAGCAGCGTCCTCAAACTCAAGGAGGGCCTCAAAACAGAATATTTAAGCTTCCATAACTCTCTTCAGAAGAATGTTCCGCAAAAAAGGAAAGCAAATTCGAAATCAGCGTTTGAAGGTGCTTCGGATGATATGCATCCCATATCAAAAGGCCACGGCCATTGAAAGTATTAGGTCGTTCCGAAAGTAATGTCGCTTTTTTCAAACGTATGCCACATCTCGTGGAACAAAGATGTGTATTAGATGCTGGTAGCTTTTGATGCAGCATTTCATTCTCTTTCTAATGGTTATGAAGTTGCTGCAATATAGTCAATAAGCTTCCAGAAAAGAGTTAAAATCTGCGACCTATGCTTGTTGAGATGGCCAAGTTTCACAATTTTTCCAAAATTTTGTAACAAACCTCAGAAGGAGTCCAAATAATGGATGGATGGAGCAGACCCTACAGGAAACAGCACAACTTTTTTCCACTTTCCAGAGCTCGTCATAATTTTTGTATAGATTTTTTGATGGAGCCACCGTATTTTAGCAGCCTCGTCCCAGACACAAGTGCGTCAAACGCCAACAAGTCTCCGGATTTTGAAACTTACAAAGATGGATTATGGTTTGGCAACAATTTTACAAACCAAACGAGCATTCACCGCTTCGGTTTAGCCACTTTTGAAAATTTCGGGTACACCTTGGGGTGCCTCGGAAAGTTGAAATATGATCCCGAAAAGTTGAATTATGATTTAATATTTTATCCCGGAAAACTTGATGAATCGGAAACAAAAAACGACCGCTAGAAAGAGGAGAAAAAGCCGCATCGAATGGCACCCGAGTCGCTTGCCTTGTTGTTCTGTGAGGTTTGACTTGACTAAATATGGAATTTGATGGCATTGAGAAATTGATTGTGGAAACTCTGAGAAGCAAGCTAAGGTAAAGAAAAAATTGCTCTGTGTTCTATAGTGTTTGCTCTATCTACCTGCCGCTTGTACTTTCTCGAAGATTGGGTTTCGAGAGCTCATTAAACATTATGCAGTGAAGTTAGAACCATTAGAAAGAGAATGAAATGCTGCATTGAATGCGTCTAAGATCTCTTGAGAATATTGAAAATCCACGATAGCGGCGTTCATTCGAAAAAAGCGACATTACTTTCGGAACGACCTGATATATATATCAGTCCCAGGATTTCGGACCGGGGGGGGGGACAAGCAAATTTTTTCAGATGAAGGTGCGTGGCTAACGCCAGGCACTCCGAAAAAATTTCTGGGGTGTTTCTCAAAATTTAGGCCCATAACTCCAAAATTTTAGAAAAAGGATTGAGCGCCTCTATGAAAAGTTATGATTTTCCTGAAAAATCCCAAAAAAACCAAATTCGCCCTTTTGTATTGCTTGCCCGAAAATTATAACTCTTCATAGAGACGTTCAATCGAGGCAAACTTTGCAATGTTGGAAAGAGCTGGTGAAAGAACTACAATACCGACTGCTCCGATTTTTGTGGCAAGTTTCCATTTTTTATGACCCTACACGAAAAATTCAAATTTTGAGTAATTTTGGTTTTGAGCTTCTATCTCCGTCATTTGTGAACATTAACGAAAAATTCAGGTACAGATGCAAAGAGCATGAGTTCCTCTCTTAAGCAAAATTTCGATCGTATAAATTCGTTCAGAAATCAATGAGTTATGAATTTTTGAAAATCGTTCGCAGGAACTTTCGATACGACTTAATATACACTATTTGACCATTAATACCTCTCTTCCCAAGAAGTCTCTTGCCCACCCTCAGGTACTATTTTGTAGAGTTAGCTTCAACATAGATTTACAATTTTGGGCGGACCATCGACCGCCCTTCATTACGTAGGATTACGGTGGGAACACCTAGCTTACAGCGTCATTGTAGATTAGTCGTGTTTCAAAAAAAGTTCACAAAAATTCTAAAAAGTGGTGTATCAGGGGGTGAAATCCGAAGTTCACTTTTGGTTTTGCCAACTCTAATCACTAGTGTAAGAGTTTCCACGTTTTTTGGTTTGTTTTTCGAAACAAGATAGAGCCCTTAATGCTCAAACCCTTCTTGAAGTTCCTACCGTAATCCTACAGTACTAACGACCCTGCAAGAGCCATATACCTTTTGATTTTTAGCCAAAAACGATATCCAGGCTGCCAGAGACCTGTGCCGTGTTTTGATTACGACTGATACATGTCACAGCATTTGAGCCATACGCCACTTTTAATGATAAGTATGTTTTTGAACACAGTAATCAATAGAATCAATAGATGTATAAATAAAGAAAACAAGATCGAAGAAATGTTAAGAATTGCTTTCAGAATAAAACTCACATTCCAACTGTAGGCGGATTTCCGACGTCCTGGAATTTTGGCGAAGCTAGTATGATGTTGAAATTTGAGTTCAAGCCCTTACCTTGCGACATTCCTGATTTCTGCATACTGTGGCGGGGTAGTGTGGGCAGTCCCTATCTTTGGTGCATTTTTGGTGAAGTCGAATGCATTTTCTGTTAACACATTCGAGCTTAGGGAAATGAGGACAACTGTCGTCTGTCGTGCAGGTCATGCCCACTTTTATGCAACGCATATTGATACATGCCGTTTTTGGATAATATGGGCATTCGCGATCAATACGACAAATTTGTCCCAAGGTTCTGCAATGTTTATCCATGCAAAACGTGTCCGGGTAACGGCGACAGTCGAAGTCTGCTTTGCAAGTGATGATGTTTGCACAAAGGGATCTCAAGCAAAAAGTATGGGGATAGTAAGGACAATCACTGTCTATAAAGCATGGTTGCCCTAATTTGACGCATGTAGATTTGATGCAACTAACTCCATGGCCAGAGTGACAGTCACTGACTGCTTTACATGGCTGCCCTAGCTTGATACATTTGCTGTTCAGACAATGTACATGCGGATCAAATGGGCAGTCTGAGTCAATCCTACAACCTTCTCGTAATGGTTTGCAGCGTGAGTTGATGCAAAAGGTGTCTCTGTGAGCTCTGCAGTCAAAATCTTTTTTGCACTTTAGTGCTCTCACGCATTGTGAGTCAGAGCACATAGTGTGTGGGTATGCGGGACACGACTGATCTACTGCGCACCATTGCTTCAAAGCAATACACTTCGAATCTATGCAGAATGTGTTTTTTACTGGACACTCGGCATCGCTTCTACATGACAATGTACACTTGGAGTTGACGCACTTCCTGCCTGGATACCGTGAGCAGTCTGAGTCTGTTCGACACTTGTCTGCTCTCTTACATCTTGAATCTACGCAGGACAAATAAGGGTAGAAAGGGCATTCCTCGTCATAGATGCATGGAAGTGCAATGTTCAGGCAAAGGGAATGAATGCACTGAGCTTGTGGGTAAGCAGGACAATTGTGATCGTCTGAGCAACTTCTTCCTGATCTTATGCATTGCCCGTGGAAACATCTGCTGTCTACATAATCGGAGCAATCACCATCTGTCTTACAAGGTTTTCGATTTGGCCGGATGAAAATGCTGCAATGGATATAATCACTATACGGTTGGCTGTGCCTAATAGTGATTTTTAACAGAATCATTTCAACTTCATTGTTCAGTGAAAGGCTTTTCTGCCACCGGATGTTAGCTCTCTATAGCTTTAGGCAATTCTGGGAAAAACGGAAATGATTTCGTTTGTTTAATTAGTTCACGACCTTGTGGTGTACTGAATGATCAATGTCCGCAACAGCGATTCTCACAAATTGCTAAAGCCTTAGCATCCGTATTGGATATAGCGTCATGTCAATCAACAATGAGTTACTTTTTGATATACTCAAGCTTGATGCGATAACAGCAAGGGCAAGCAAAAAAGTTTCATGTTTATTATTGCTCAAGCAGTTGTGAAAAATACATAGCCTAGTGCTAAAGGTAGCCAAAACGCGGATGTGCTTAGTGAGAAGCAAACATGGACAAGCGAGGAAGGAATAAAGCTTTTTTCCTTGATGTATAAAGATGTATCTTAAAGGGAAATAAATTTGTTGTTTTCGTCATAGTAAGAAGTTTGTAAATTTTTCCAGATATATTGCGTGCAGCACGAAATCGCGGCTTGCAAATCACGGATTTTCGAAAAATTGTGAGTCAAAGGTGTTGTCTCGGCAGAATGTCGTTTTATTTTTTCACCTTTTCAGGTCTTCTAGCCATGAGGAATTTAAATCTGAGCTTTCCGCGCACGAAAATGGCGAAAACAAATAATTTTCAAGCTTTTCAAGTACGCATTTTGAAGATACACGCCGAAATTATTTCACGCCCCGCCTTCCTCGTTCCGGGCCCGCTCACTTACACGTATTCTCTACTGATTGTGACCTGAAAAGCTTACAGAAAGCTAATTTTTATTTTCATGCGCTGAGAAGCCCAGCTATGATTTCTCATGGCGAAAAGGCTCCGAAAAGGTGAAAAGTGGAAAAGATATCCTACCGAGACACTGTCTTTAATGATCTTTTTTGAAATCGCACTTTTACGAGTAAAGTGCCTGATTTATGCAGTAGCGAAGAATTTTTGCACATTTGAGTAAACATTAGAAAGAGCTTGGAAAGAACTTTCGAATCAAAAGTCATATATGCGGGGACTTTGGGGTACAGATGCACAGATTTGGTTGGCGTTAAAAAAAAGTCTGTCTGACTTCTTCAAAGCGCCGCTCGAAAGATTGTGGGTGGGGTACTGCAAGGTGCTGTCAGGATAACTTGCGAAGGTCACGTTTACTAAAGCGTTCAAATTGCTGGTTGTTCGTATTTAATCAGCAAGAAACCCAAGAATGTTCAAAAAATGAAGACGCCAAATTACCATGGCTCGGTACGAAATGGCTTTCTGAACATGCAAAAAACGAAGTCACTCTTGACTTTCTCTAAATGCTACAAAGTTTCCTTTGACCCCAAATCATAAAAGTAAAAAATCCTTGAAAACGAAACGAGGACTCAAAAAACACATAACCTAAGTTTTGTTTTTGCCAAATTAACAACATTCCTTTTCCTATTTGTTCCAAATACGACATCCAGCTTGGTTATAAGCAGGGTTGAGCAAGAGGTCAGGCACAAGTCTTTCCAAAACGACCCCCCCCCCCCAGTGAAAGCCCCTAAACGACCCCTCTGCTTCACCTCCAGGACCTCAGGCTGTGATAATTCGAAGAGATCGGCCGTTTTTGGGAGGCTCTTGTTTATTGGAGGTCTGTAGGTCGACTTTCTGCGATTGCACAGCACACGCAACTTGACGGCAAGTTTTGGATTTTGGATAGCCCTACTTTTAGAGCTATAATTCCCACAGGGGTGTATTGTTTGGCTCCAAATTTGCAGTATTGCAAGAAGAGGCTTTGAGTTCAATACTCATAGCAGAAATGGAGCGATTTTTAGATTTTGAAAACAAGTTAATCGGGTCAGGCGCAACCCCTCAAAAGCTCAGGCGGCCTGACCTTTTGTGGGGTTGCGCCTGACCCGATTAACTTTATCATTGAAGAAGCTTTTTTATTCAAGTTTTATGTGAATCGCTAGCACAACCCTCGAAGATTCCACAGTAAGTGTTTGGACTTGATTCGACTTGTTTCGGCCTTGTGGTAATCCGTGGAGTTGAAGCAGTCATGGAGAAAAACGCGCTGGTCGGAATTTTGGCATTATTTCTTTCTCCACTATTTGCAAGCGATACAAAGCGCGATATTTAGCCTAGACTATTAGGGAACAATACTTTGTTACGAGTACAAAAAAATTGACTTTTCTCACTTTTGAAAACAAGTTAACAATGTTTGAAAATCACGCTTTTTAGTCGTTGAGAAACACTAGATAATGCAGTAAATAATGGTTTGTAGGGCTCATAGAGGTAATTTGACGTGCTCGGAAATGATACCCATTTCACACAGCAAGCTTCCTTGATGAATTTATAATATGTCAAGGTAGAAGATGAAGATTTGAGTTTTGGCCGAAACTTCGATTGTAGAATCAATCAGTATGCTGTTTAAGACCGTTCATTCCTTCAGTACTGGTGAGGTCGCGATATCCACTAAACTAGCGCTTTTCTTCTTCACCTTAATCGTAGTATCTCCTCAATCGAACGAATTCGATTCCTAATCACGACCCCCCCCCCCCCTCTGTCTTACCCCAGTACGACCCCCCAGGTCGGGCGCGCCTGACCTCACGCTCAACCCTGGTTATAAGCCACCTGTGCCGGACCCTGCCCATTACTTCTGGATCACCTAATAATAGACAATGTTCAATAAAATGAAGACTAGTCACTGACATTAAAACCACGTGTGATAAGACCAATGAAGAGGGTTTAATCTTAAGATGCTGACTATATTGTGCGCACAAATACACGTTAAACTGAATTCCTTACATTCTACAAGATAGTTTTTGAAAAAGTCGCTAGTATGCTCAGTATTTCTAATGTAAACTCGACAAATTTTTCGAGTGATTTTAGCATGGTAGCGTGTTGAGTAGCTCGACGCGAATAATTCTTGCGCATGCTATAATACGAAATTTGCATAAATTGAGAAGGTGATAATGCTATGCGTTATTTGTACGGGACAGGGAAAGGGTGCTACGCCACGCCTCGACAGTTATGTGATTTGGAAAACTCACACTCCAATGGTAAGCTGCAGGACTGGTCTTGGCTTTCCACCTTTCTGCAAATTGCGATGATCTTTTCCAACTAAACTCAATGGTCTACGTTACCTTGTCGCAGTACTTTTCTTTATTGCACACAGTTTCCGGGTAGTACGGGCACTCTCTGTCCTCTCTACAGCTTTGATGAAGGCGAACACATACGTCATTGACACATTTGGCGATAGGAAAATAGGGACAATTGACATCTGCAGTGCATGGCGTGCGCACTTTGACGCAACGTAGATTTATGCAGGCTGTCTGAGGATAAGCGAAACATTCCTTATCCTTTTGACACTGTTGTCCAACTTTTCTGCATTGCCCCGCTAAGCAATAAGTTCGCGGATATTGACGGCAGTCCGTGTCTACTGTGCATGTTTTCACCTTGGCACAAAGAGAATTGAGGCAAAAGGTCTCGGGATGAAATGGGCAGTGTCGATCAGTAAGGCAAGGCTGGCCTAGCATTATGCAATGCTTGTTTACGCAACCAATTCTTGGTGATGACGCGCAATCCGAGTCTCTGAGACATCGCTGTCCTAATTTCATACACTTACTATTTATGCAGTGGACATGAGGATCAAGCGGGCAATCCGAGTCAACTCTACATCGTCCACGTAATACTCTGCATCGTGAGTTAATGCACTGAGCATTTTCAAAATTACTGCAATCAAGATCCTTCCTGCAGTCAGCCGCTTTTATGCACTTTGATCGGTAGCAAGTCAAATATGGAAAACCTCTGCAGTCTCTATCCACCCTACAAATTTGATCCTTCGGGACACAACGCGATTTGACACAGTACATGTTGCCAAGCTTCGAGCATTCACTATCGCTCTTACAAAAGTGCTTCGAAATAGTACACCTTGATTTTTCGCATGTCCCGTCTTGAAGATGGGAGCAATCTGATGTCTTATGGCATTTGTCAGTTCTTATGCAACGGTAGTCTATGCATGTTGTGATTGAACGATAAGGGCAATCCTCATCACGTAAGCATTCAACCGCGATGTTCAAACATTGCCCATAGATGCACTGTGAAATCGGATAAGCTGGACAGTCACTATCGCTTCTGCATCCGCATCCAGTTTTCACGCAGTTTCCATGCAGGCATGTCGTTCCTGGATAATTTATGCACTCTCTCGTTTGACTACAGCTTACATCGGTTTTTTGTGAGTAAATACTGTAATGAAGAGAATATGGAATTGTTGTACATCTTAAGACGACTACTTACATTCCTATGACCGTCTCCTTGGTTATTTCTATCTGAAATTATTGACTTTAAAATAACTGTCTGCAAGCTTTCTATAGATTATTATTAGAGATTCTTCTTTATCTCGTTGCTAAAATACAATATGTTGTTGGACTTGACCCGGCATTTTGAGTTTCTCAATTTCGTTTGTGTCAAACAAGCACCAAACCTAACAGCAAGAAAAATGTGGGTTTTATGTCTTGATGTTATGGAAATGTTCCCCAATCCAACAGTTTGAATTGTTCATTATTTAAGTGCGCCAGCGCGTCAGTCCGTGCTAGTTGTAGTCATGATTGTGTGACGAAAAACTGATTAACACATTGACGACCGCTTGAGACACATGGTGTGTCAAGGCTTAACACACCATCTGTGTCGTTGTAATGTCTACTGTTTTGTGTGAAATCCGCCCCGGGCGTTTTCTTTTACGCTGGATCTAAACACAACCTTTGATGTTTTTGCTAGCATTACAGCGTTACTGTAGATGTACTGTAAATGGAATTGTGCGTGAATTTGTCTTAAAAGTGTTGAGTGGTCCATGAAACGCCTTGGTCGTCAATGTGTTAAACTATCGATACTCAAATTCGAATATACTCGGTCTTTGTCCATTTATTTGCTGTCTTAATGGATGCGCTTATCCGAAAACTTTATCATCTGGATGTTGATAATTGAAACACATGCAGGCGTTGCTAAGGAGGATGTTCCTCATATATCAAAGCATCGGTATGAAAACTGAGGACAAGATGCGAAATAGTTTTGCAAGCTTATCAAGTGGCAAAAATAGTGTATATTTAGATTGGATCAAAAGTTAGATTGGATCAAAAGTCTTGGCATGACCCGCAGAATTTTGAGTAAAGTAAATAAACAAACATTTCAAACTGTAACCGATGCAGTAATTTTTTCTCTTCACAGCAGCTATATTTCAGTGTGATCCTTTAAAAGAATCCTGAGATCGTGGAGATTACAGCCTACAGCCTTTCTTTTTCACCATGCCTAATTTCGGTAACTTTCGGAATTGCGACCTGACAAGGAAAGGAAGGTTGGTCGAAGTGGACTTTTGTTAGAGACGGATACAGGCTTGAAAGTTATGAAACGCTAATTCGAAATCTATCTTCGTTATCTGCTGCGGGTTCCTGAGCGAGGATAGGATTTACAAAGGGTTTTATGGCAAAAACTTGCATGTGCAGCTAGAATAAAATCAGTCGTTAAAATTCAAGGCTCGAATGATTTTCGGGTTACTCTGTGCAACAAATATTTATAAATTGGACATATCCACCCAATTCTGTCGCTTTGGAATGCTAGGAAAAGTCAAACGATTGGTTTTGCACTGGTCATGCATTAAATTTTTTGCCCATAAATACTTCCAGAAAGCTCATTGCTCAGGAACCCGCAGCAGATAAGAAAGGTATATTTTGAATCTGCGTTCGTTCTTTCATACTCTTTAAGTCAATACACTTCTCATACAGAATTACTACTTCGACTAGCCCTCCTTCCTTGTGAGACTGTTGGGGGAACTTTACCCAGCAGATAAGGCGTACCATTTGCCAAGTAGGGTTGGTAACATTAATAAACAACTGCTGAAACCTTTGAACATTTTACAATGTTTGGCACAATAACAGATTATGCGATTTTTCCAAAACTCAAGACTTTTGGAAGACTATTCAGAAAATTCCTTCTGAAAAGGACAGCTGAAAAAGGAAAAAATGTAACAGTTGAAACATTTGCATGACTGTTGGCTATCAAGTCACCCAAAAGTCTCAAATAAAAATTTTTGAAAATCAGCGAAAAGTGGACATGCAGAAAAAGAGGATTGTAATCTCCAGCCTCAACACTCGCAAAAATCACATTGTGAACAAGGTAGCTGGAAAAAGAAAGTTTAGCGTCGGATATATCTTAGAGTATGTGTTTATCTTTACTGTGCGGGATTTGCGGGTCATTTTAAAAAAGGGAGAGAGTCTCAAAGTCGACCTAACATTTTTTTCTCCAAGAAAAGGTTATAGAGATATAGTAAAAAACAACTAAGGCAAGATAAGTTGATTTCAGACATTCTTACGACAACTCTCACATTATTTACTCACCTCTCTCCCTGGTTGTACTTGACCATATCTGCTATTAGACAGAACCACTGTTGTTAGTACAAGCATGAAAAGAGCACAATTTAGCACCAGCTAAAAGTATCGTATTTTTTACCACTTATAACGAGAATAAGAGATTTGATATCTTACTTTGTGCGCCATGTTGAGAATTGCACTCAAAAGTTGCAAAGCTTCAGCGAAATCTGTAATAGAGAAGTACTCACGAGTTTACACGAAAGGTTTCTAATAGTTGAGGTGGGCATGAAAATAAAGAACTCATATAAAAAATTCTCTGAAAGGTCTTAAAAAAGTCTCCAAAACTCAAGTGAAAAATCGTCCATTCATAAGCTTGCCTAAAAACAAGTTCATTTTTCTTGCAAATCTTCAAAAAATTTTCTGCCATTCTTAACCAATATTTCTTTGGAGCTGGAGTGACTCGAGATTTCTGCTATGAAATACCAGCTACTCAGATTTTTCTACCATTGGTAAAGGACTATTTGACCCCAGTATGGTCGAATTTCTATAAACTCAGTTCTTTGACCATTTAAGCTCCGTTCTAATGCTGTGTATAAATGTAGAAGTAAGTAGTTTGGTATTAAACATCCAAGTTTTGTTTTTTTTCTGTTCAGCAGATAAAAATAGGATTTGTGGTCTACTATTTGAAACATTTCAATTATAACACTTTTCTCAAATTTACGCACAATATGAGGCTTCTAATTCACTTTTTTGCTTTTTTTTCATTTTTCCATAGTGAAATGAATTATTAGATTTTGTCATAATTATATTATTTGAAATAAGATGCATATGCTTTTGAAATCTGGTTTCAAATTCATATGAGTAGTCCTACGACTTAGTAGGATAGTGGAAAAGATTTCTTGGCATCAAATGAAAAGAATGTAAAAAATTTATTTTCGACATCTTTTTGCCCTTCAACTTTCCCTTTTTCGTTGGTAATTTCTATTCTGAAGCCTGACAATCAACAAGACAATATACTTGACCCTTATGTTTGTATTGCCATTTTTGTGCTTGTTCCTTCTCCTCTACCGACTTTTAAACGACATTTTTTTCAAAAGCTGTCGAACCAAGACTTAGCTGCGGCGATATTCGCGTAACCTAAGCTCTGTGGGTCCAAACACTAAATCTGTGAGTAACTAACTTATGAATTCGATGATTTTGTAGCAAGACCATCCCTTCTGTCTCTTCTGGATTTTCCATCTACCGTGCTTTCTTAGGACCGCCTTCACATGCTCAAAACAACATTGAAGATAAGTCAGAAAGAAGACTTGAGTTTACAAAAATTCCTCAAAATTTTAGCACTTTCGAATTATTGCAGAAACTACGGTATTCTTTCCCGCTCAGCAGATTTTTCGAGCTGTTCTGAAAGCATGCTGATCTAAACGAGGGGCGACGTAAAATATTAGGTGGTCTCATAATTAATGCACGTTTTTTCTAATCTCGCTCAAAAAGGCTGACTCTCAAAAAAAAACCATTTTTTGTCCAAAACCCTTCACAGTATCTGAAAGCACAATTCTTCTAGTTTCTACCATGTGCTACCGTTTTCGCAAATCTCTATTCAAACCGGAGTTCCATGCCTTTGAAGACAAGTAACCAAATTACAAAATTGTTTCCCTTCACTCTCCTTGCTCTAAATCTATGAGAAGTAGATAATTCTTCAAAAATTGTGCGTAACAATTGCAAAGCCTTGTCCTACAAAATGCTTGTCAATAATGAGTTTTTGAAAAGTCCTGAGCTGAAAAATCTCGTGTCAAATTTGGCTGTTCGCTGAAACCCATCTATGTTGCATAAAAGTCTCGAGCAAGAAGCCATTGCACAAAATCTGCTATGTACACCTGAAGTGGACCTAGTACAAATAATGTTAGGAAAACGGCAACAATTTCTCACCCTTTTGAGAAGAAAAATTTTTTAAAAAAATTCCATGTTGTGTGAGTAACTGAGATCAGTTGTTCCTCATAGTGATCCGCGTCGGGTAGTCGATCGCAACTTCAGAGTGCGCGGGAATTGAGCGCTACAAAAGGGCTCACTCATAGCCTGAGTCAGTTCTATTGTTCAGGTTGTTCACTCATTAGCTTATCATATTTTTGCTCTTCTATCATATTTTGATAAATAATTTCTTCTGCTCCTGTGCCGTCCAGACGAAGAGTGTCCGGAGCTTGAGGGACATAACATTCCAAAAGAGCAGTTATTTGGAATTGTTGGAGTGCTGAAAAAAGTGGCTATTTTTGATTTTTTTTGCGAAATTTTCTCACACAAAAAATGCTATAAACTCCAAACCTCACTCCGTAACAACCGACTTTCGGCTATATAACGAGCAAAGTTTGCGCGCTTGTAGTACGATCGAAAGCAAGTTAAGCTCTTTCAAAAGACAAGTTTTGAGATAAATGTTTGAAAATTTATCGGGCTCGAAAATCTTTCAGAGAATGGCTATGACCCAACAAAAGCATGCGTTATTTAGACAAAGGTTTGCTGTTGGCAGTAATCTTTACTGCGCTCAGAAAGATATTTTTGGAAAAGAATTATCTTGATCAGAAGCTGAAATTCAAAAACGCGCATTTTGGGGTAACCCAATAGTTGTCAAAAATGATTTTTCCTTTTTGCTTTTTCCAAATTTGATGCTGGAAAACCGTTTGACTTCTTCTGATATAGAAAACTAAAGCAAAGATTTTGGAGCGGGCAAGAACAGGTTTAGAAGCTTTCAAGTACATATATGCATTTTTCAAAACACCTTCAAAAATATTGTGAAAAAATTGAAAGAAAAAATGGGACAAAACTTATTACGCAATCTAATAGTTGAACAGCCTGCATTCCATTCCTCATAAAAACGTTTTTTTTTCTGTGGTTCGAAACGACAAAACTGGACAAACTGGACAAACTGGACAAACTGGACAAAACTTTTTTTTCAGAATTTGCTGGTACTGTAAAACGATCGAGATGATTTACTAACCTACTTAAGATATCCTCAAATTATTCTAAAGGAAAGGAGCGAAAGAAGCCATAACCTTATCGTTAGTAACTAAATCGAAGCAGTGCTTTTCTCAGGGTGTCTCATGATTTTTTACAGTTTCTACTTAACTATCATCCTTTTGCATCTTTCCCTCAATTGATGTAACTCAAGTAATCATTCGACAGGACAACGCAAGCTGTACGTGATGACTATGAAGAATCCGCCCAAATTGTATTCCACTTAAATTCTTGAAGTGAAATCTGATAGCAGTCTAAAACGAATTTTGTTGTTAGCAATCTTGTCTCCGTCCCAAAATGTCTTAGGCCTAAGGCATACCTCACGCGATTTTAGTCGCCGCGCGATTTGGCACTGCAACAACTCTCCATAGCTGGTCGTAAACGCACTTTGCTTGAGCCAAACTTGCTGTGTTTGTTACAATTAACGGAATCTACGGACATGCATCTGAGAGCCTCGCATGTTTAATCTCTAAACGGCAAATCGCCAAGTCGCGAGGATGTGGCGATATCGCGAGAGGTATGCCTTAGGCCTTAAAAATTCCCCATTCATCCTAACGTATGCTTGACACATCGCACATTCAATTGTCCTATTTTTTTCCATAGCTAGAAATAAAGAAAAAAGTGAATGAAATAAAATGGCAAACTCCGCTCTTAGACATCTAGAGATTCTCCCACGCACGTGATCATATAGCTCAACATACAGAAGTACGGTCATGTATTTGTAAACTTTGAAGGTGCCGTAGTTCGTGAAAATGCTGATGTTTAGGGTAAAAACGGTAAAAAGTTATGCTACACCATTACATATCGACAAAATCGGAACACGGCATGCGAGAACTCGAAGAGAACTACTATCAGGAGAAGCATTATGCCGTTTTTGGGGCGGTGATTTCATTCAAAGTTCAGCTTTTTCGCAAATCATCTGTTTTTGCACGTGTCAATAGGCAGAGGACTACATATACAGTGCTGGACATAATTATAAAGCCACTCTTGGGCAAAAGTTTTGTCAGTTTTTTCAATCCATTGGCAAGCACGCTGGAATGAAGATAAACAAACATTTCAAAGAGTGTCCGATGCAGAATTTCTTCCTCTTTCCAGCTGCTAAACTCCCGTTGTGTATCATTGCGAGAGTGACGAGATATTTGCTGGAAATTACAACCACTCGTTTTTACCATGTCCAACTTTCACTAATTTTCAAAAATTTTGTATGAGATTTTCGGAGGAGCCCTAATAATCCCCAGATAGGGCAAACCTCTTGCCAACAAAAGCATTTTTTCTTTTATTAGCTGCTTTTCAAGATTTTGCTAAGTAATTTTCTGAAAGTCTTGTGTTTTGAAAAAATCGCATAACCTTTCATTGTACCAAACACTGCAAAACCTACAGAATACTGAGGTTTCAACACACGATTATTACTACCGCTACCATTACAAAGTAAATGAGCGATTCTCGCTTTGAATTATGAAGATTTTGAAACATAGGTTACGTCAGTGCGCACTCATGAAATTAAGAAATACTGCGAATTCCCCCCCCCCCCAAATTTCGTAGAAATTCTAAAAGACAAGGCGTACGGCTACAAAAAATTGCTTCTGTTGGCAAAAGGTTTGCCCCATCTGGTGGTTATTAGGGCTCCTCCGAAAATCTCATACAAAATTTTTGAAAATTAGTGAAAGTTGGACATGGTAAAAACGAGTTGTTGTAATTTCCAGCAAATATCTGTCACTCTCGCAACGAAACACAACGGGAGTTTAGCAGCTGGAAAGAGGAAGAAATTCTGCATCGGACGCTCTTTGAAATGTTTGTTTATCTTCATTCTAGCGTGCTTGCCAATGGATTGAAAAAACTGACAGAACTTTTGCACCAAGAGTGGCTTTATAATTATGTCCAGCACTGTATAACACTCGACAAGCTGCGAAGACAACCGTACAGTAATGGAACAAATTCTATAGAATGTAAAATCAAAGGTAGTTTTCTGAATTTAATAAGAAATATAACGAGCGTGAGCGGAGCAAGCCTATGATAAAAGTCTCCAATAAACAAAATCAAGGAATTCATAGCATTTGAAAAGCTGCTATAAAATGTTTTGTTGGCGCGTTTGTGAGATATTAGCATAGTACAGTACAGCTGACAGATCCTGCAATGGAAAAATATATTGGTAGCAATGGAGCGCTTTTGAGGAATCTAAAATCAATTCTATTGTTTTCTATGACAACGCGAAATTTCGCTCACTGAGGGCTTATACATTAGATCTTCATAATCGACCTATAAAAGATGGCCCATGTGACTTTCTAAAAGCAGCGCTTTGAATTTTTGTGTTTTGTCCGGACGTTAGCAGAGGGGAAATGAGTATCTTCAGAAACACTCCACCACTATCAAGCATTTTTGCATTGCAGAAATTTGCCAAAAAATTTCTTCCCAATGCTAGTATCCCACGATTGTCCGCACATAATATTTTGTAGTGCTTTCATCTATGCTATGAATTTCTTGATTAATGCTTATAGCAACAATTATTTCATATAATAGCGCCATCCAATGGTCATTATGTTCCTCTGTAGGAATTTTGAATGGCGAGATTTTCGATGTTATAATTTTTCGTTGCCGACAACTGGCGCTGAATGGCCACGGAGGAATCATATTCGTACTTTGTGCCCTATGAGTATGTGTTGTGCTCATGTTGTGGGGTACTGCAGGGGCTCTTTACGCGTCGTCAGACTGCGGTTTTTACTTCATTTTCATACAAACTTTGCAGGTGAATGCTCATGGTCTCTGTGCAAATGGCTGGTAATCCTTCGGTTTTTACTTTCACAGAACACGTTAGCTACAGTGCTTACAATCAGATGCAAAAAGTGTCAGTCAGATGCAAAAAGTGTCAAAGTCTCAAGCACCCAAAGTGTACAAATTGTCCACAAAACACTATAAGTATCCATAATCATTAAACCACTGCATGCTACGACCAAGGTGTGATCATAGGCTTGGGTTGAGTCGCATGGTACAACAAAATGCGCAACAAGATATATGTCCACTTTTCTTTGCACATTACAATGAAAAATTGCCAGAGATAGGCATCAAGAGTGTTTGGTTTCCAAAATGAAGGTAACTGTCTCCATGCAAGTAAGGCAATTCTGTTGCTACGTGGTACATTTATGTCACATGCAAGAGCTGTTTGCAAACGGGTAGGCGACGATGTACACGCACATGCACACCTTGATACAAAAAGCTAACAAGGAAAGGATACTCGGTCACCGTGGCCATTTGGAATGCGATGTATACTGTAAGTGCATCTCGAAACGCTTTCCAAATCTGTGCTCTATATCTGCGAAACGATCTTCTGAAGGAAGTTGTGAACTTTTTTCCTAGAAAATTTGCGTACTTTTGCGTAGTTAAAATCACCAAATTTGTTCCAAGTTACAATTTGAAGCTATTGAAGAGAATCTTAAAAGGAATAATGTTGTAATATGCCTATATAAATCATATTCAGCATTTGAAAAGGAAAGAAATTTTTTATTGATGATTTTGACCCTCCGCAGCATTGCAGTTTATTCATGGAGAAATAACCATAACTCAATTCAAATTATCGTTTCGCAGATATGCAAGACAGTATTCGAACCGGCATCAAAAGGCGCATTTTTTGATAAACAAATCATTATGAATGGCCGCGGTGACCAAGTATCCTTCCCTTGTAAGCCTCAAAGTGAACCGAAGCAACAGGAATTAGGAATGGTAGGAGAACAAATTTTCGGCGTTTGTGACTATGGAGCCCAATCTAGGAACATCAACTTTGTTGCCGTAACTTCTGAAGCGAGTTTTTTAGCTTTGGACACCTTGCGCAGCGAGACTTGCGTTAGTCAGGTAGGCTAATGTACCCTGAATTTTCCCACCCTTTTTTCAGGTAAACGGTGTCTTTAAAGTTGAACAAAGTAGGCCATTTCAAACCACCTCAGTGGATCAGTGGATAAATGGTCCTTTTACGACGGGGTTAAGCCGCAGTCACACATGCAGGCTGAATCTTACATCTGTAATTAATCTGACTTGATAGGTTAGTCTCATACATAATGATTTGGTTTTTGCTTTAAGTACAGTATATGGACAATGCCATCTTTTTCCACGTAACGCTTTAGGGCCAGCATACCGGAAAAGCGAGTGTGCTTCTGAAAACCTAAAACCCACTTCGCAAGTCTCCCGGATACCAACCCCTCGTTCTGGACCTACTTATACGTATTTTCTAGCGAATGCGAACATGGAGAACTGCAAAAACTCATTCACGCAATTTTATCCGCGACAAAGCCCAGATGTGAGTCGGCACAAAATGGCAAGAAGGCTCCGAAAAGGTACGAAGCCGGAAAGCGAAATTTTGCCGGAACACTGCCTATCAACCAGATAGAAACGGAACATACAAAATAGATAAAGAAAGCCCAGCGGACTTTTTATCGGTATCAACAACTTCCATCCTAACATAGTGCTTTTTACAAAAAAATAAAAGAAACTTTAGCGTTTTGCGGTTATATTTCACGCAGGTGCCTAACTTTGTGCGCCTCGAAACTTACTCGCTCGTTTTTTTTGCAGTTTGCAAAGAAAAGAGAGATTTAAATGTAGTAAGATGTCCCATAATTTTTTACAGTTTTTACTACAACCGTCGTCTCTTTCTATTTTCCCTTCAACTGATGTAGTTTGAGTAATTTTTCGACAGGGCAAAGCAAACTCTACAAGCTGGCTATAAAGAATCTGCCCAAATCGTAATTCACCGGAAGATTTGAGCTGAATTTTTATAGCAGTCACAACGGACTTTTCCTTCAAGAATCATATCTCCGCCCCGAAATTCTTAAAGATTCCTTATTTATCCTAGCATAGGCTTGACAAATCGCATATTCAACTGTGCACTTTTCGTATTTTTTCTATGGCTAAAAATAAAGAGAAAATGGACGCACAGAAAATGGCGAACTCCGCGCTCCGAGACGTCCTCTGCTCCTCCCACGCATGTGATCGTATAGCTCAGACATACAGAAGTACGATCACGTATCTGTATCCTTTGTGATTGCCCCAGTTCTCGAGAAATGCTGATGTTTAGGATGAAAATGGTAAAAATTTATGAAACACCCCAATAATAAAAAGATCCTTTTTCCCTTTCTGGGATCTGAAGAAGCGGATATCATTTCAAAAATTAAAAAATCCAGGACACGGTCTCAAGCTATAAGATAGTGCCTATGTATCGTGCACTCCAAAGCAGCGGTCTTTTTAGACGCTGACGATCGCTTACAAGCGTCTTTATCTAAGTGCTGTCTAAAATCTCTTTCTTTTGCTGTCAAGAAAAGTCAGAAAGCCAGCAAAACTGGCGCTGCTTCTAGCTAGGCCGCCGCCTAAATTCACCATTTTTTTTGCTTTACTGGTCATAAGCGAAATGAGGAGCGTCGAGTCGAGGGCGCGCTGCGTGCGCGTACCGATGGAAAGCTAGCTGGGGCACACACTATACCAGAAACATGATTAGCACTGTTGAATTTGATAAAAAGGACAGCTTTGGAATGTTCTTATTGAGTTAAAGGAAATTGACTTCAAAGGAAAGACGTGGCAGCTGGGGATCATCAGGGAATCTTACAAAAAACTGATAGCGGCTTGTGCAGCTTCTTGCTCCCGTTCAACGTGTTTGTAGTGAAGGAATCTTGGGAATACTTACGGATAGGTGGACAGCGTAAAATCCACGTACCTGGAGCTTTAGGATATGAAACTTTTTTTTGAACTGCGATCCCCTCGCCAGCGGGAATGTTATTGCATGCGGCCCTTAGATTGCCCTAACCCCGCGGGTTTACTTCGCTTCAAAATTCTCACTTGCAAGTAACTTCAGTAAACATAGGGAACACAATGTATGCCCGAGTAATGTTGCATGCAAAGATAAAAAAAACTTTTAGAAATTATATCACTATTATCCAAACGTTGCTTGCAAAGGACTTGCTTTTGAAAAGTTTAACTTTATACTTGCAGGATCTACGCATGGGTGCATGCGTTAGTCATTATTGTCAAGAACTTCGAGATATGACCTTAATAAAAAATTGGTAGTATTAAATTTCAAACTTGCATGTTGAAGTCGTTTTTTACACAAAGATAACCACCGAATTTATCGTTCACTCACGCTTTTGTCTGTCCTTTAGCTACTTACCGGATGCGTAAGGTTGCTACTACCCTATCCTCTCTGTCAAAAACGCACTCTTTGGTAGTCGGCAAGTGCTCCTCGTCACCACAAATAAGATTCCAAGTTTGCCCAATAGCGTGAATCTGGAATTGAACCAACATGACATTTACAAACAACTGTAGGATGGTCGGCATGAGCCAGTGTGCTTCAGAGGAAATTCTTCTATTGCGCGCGAGCGGTGGGGAGGGGGGGGGGGCATGGAAATAGGAATCGAAGCAGTGGTTTTGTACAAAACGAAATAATACATCTCTTTGGGAAGGGCACGTTGTTTAAAAACATAACCCGTAAAACTTATGGAAAATTTCTATAACAGCCGCCGAGAAGATTGTTCAGAAAGTGTCGTTCACGTTGGATTCAGGGATGGGCGATAAGCCTGTGCTTCTTTATAGCAAGCATAACTTTATGCGAATGTTAAATCTTTATGCTTCTGTTACAGAAAAACAAATTTATGTAACGACAATCAGACTACAATAAAATGGTTTATGTTTTTTTCACCAATTTTTATCGTTACCATAACACAAATAATAAAAGTTTTTTATTCTAAGAAAGAACACGTCCAAGTGTTGAAAGGTGAACCAACCGTTCTTCACCCATCCACAACGCATGCTTATATTTAGCATTTTCATTATGGCTTGCTGTTGTTACTCCATCAAAGTCCATACAGCAGAAGGGCTAAATAATAAAGATGAAAGGTTTTTAAATACAACATTCTCAAACAAGCAATAAACTGGATAGAAGCCGTTCATATTTGGCTACTGCCTGTTTCAAACTGCACTTGTCCAGTGCTAAATCTGGCGTCATATGTTAGGTTGATGCAAAAATAATGGGCCGTTTTGCGAATTTTCACTCAAAGTGCTACAACTTTCTAAAAAAATCTACATTTCTGAATGCACTTGATACCTTTAGAAGCAGCAAATTTTTCGCAATGCGCACGCTCATTTATACTCACATCACAAAACAAGAAAAGTACGACTAAAGGACAAAAAAATTTTTTTTCTGAAATCTTGTTTTTGACAATTCGTAACTTCCTTCAAAATCTGTTATTATAAAGGACAAGTGGCCTATCTTGTATCCGCAAGCCAGTAGAACAAAACACAATAAAGAGGGTTTGAAAAAACATTTGAGAAGAGGAAAAAAATTAAAATTTAAAATTGTCCGTTTTTTCAAAATTTTTTCAGTATGCCTCAAAACACCAAACATAGAATTTTCCGATTTTTTGCGTACTGGACAGCTGGATGTTTTTGCAAAAACGCTATTAGGATGCACTAGCATTACGCTTACAATATTGAGCAAAGCTTTGACAATAGACTTCTTCAAAATATTAGGTCGTCCCAAAAGTATTTTCGCTTTTTTTGAACAAGCGCCACAGTCCGCAGAACAAAGGTTTACAGAAGCTCTTGGCAGCATTCGATGCAGTTTTTCATGCTCTTTCAAATGGTCATTTATTTAGCAGTCGAGGTAAACTGCGTGCTTTGCTTGCTTGCAACACATGCTTTTTACCAAGGTCAAGTTCCACTATTTTTTTAAATTCTTGTACTGATCCTTTGAAAAAGTCCAAGTGGCCTGCGGATAGAGCAAAGAAAGTAGGATGCAAGACATTTTTTGCCCCTTCCACAGATTACTTTGAAAACTTTTCAAAATTATTTTTTGATGCTATCAAACTCCTATTTGGTCAACTTAAACCTCATAGAACAATAGCCGGCGAGCAACCGGGTATTATTCGACGCAGCACTTTCTCCTCCTTCAGAGACATGCTTTTTGTTCCTGATTCGAGAAGTCTTGGAGGATAAAATCGACAAAATTCATGTTTTTAAAGGAACCCCAGGCTGTACCCGACAAATCAAAAATTAGATATTTCGAAACCCGGAACTCTCACTTGCTTCGTAAAATTAGTACTGAATCCTAATCCACTTTGAAAGGATCAAAAAACGAGAATTTAGTGGAGTTTGACGAGTCTGCGTCTGCTATGGGGCTCCTAAAATTCGATGGTGCTGTTCAAAATTCTGTCAAAAAGTTATGGAGAGCCCTGGGAAGGAGATCGAAACAGTTTTTGCATCCTACTTTCTTTGCTATATCCGCAGGCCACTTGGACTTCTTCAAAGGGTCAGTACAAGAATTTAAAAAAAAGTAGTGGAACTTGACCTTGGTAAAAAGCATGTGTCGCAGTTTATCGCAATTTTTGATAGCTCATTGCCTCGACTGCTAAATAAATGACCATTTGAAAGAGCATGAAAAACTGCATCGAATGCTATCAAGAGCCTCTGTAGACCTTTGTTCTGCGGACTGTGGCGCCTGTTCAAAAAAAAAGCGAAAATACTTTTGGGACAACCTAATAGATTTAGAGCTACAAAATGACCCCAGCGACTACCCATATTGACGTGCCGATTTCTCAATCTGGACAACTTCAGAAAACATAGTCAAGTATGCATAATGTAGACAATTCCTATTACATACAACAGCAAAATTTCCAAAGAAGCGCCGTTCATGCGCTCTTGAATTCTGGCCAGAAAAGTGAATGCAATGAAATTATGATTTTGGATGCGGTATACGAACTCTCCATGTTCGTATTGAACTTTGCACCAGAAGAATTCCGCATGACTAATAACGACTGCAGCGCGAAGTTTTCTCACAGGCTCGTGTCTATTATTTTGTTAGCTGTTTGCTTATCTGTGATATTCTCGTGCTTACTGGTGTTTTGTTATTAATCGCTTGCATATAAAAGTAGGTGACAAAGCGTAGTGAACATATTGTGTCTTATCTTGGTTGACTTCCTTTTTCTTGTCTTGCCTTTGTGTCATATTTTGCATTATTTCTTGTGTACATTTTTCTTGCTTCCTTCACAGTCTCACAGATCCTGCACAGTTTCCTCCCGATTCACAGGATCACAACCACTGGCTTAATTTGACCGCTACAATTGTATCATCCAGTTTAGCATATGCTCTTGCATTTTCGATATTTCGATTATATAATATTTATAATAAAGTTTAATTACCCAAGTTTGAGGTTGCTCTCAACTTGCATACGCGTAAGTCCCGCATGGTGGCAGTTCAAGTTTACAGTCACCGAAAAGCAATTCAAATGCGGTTTCTGAAGCTCAGCAACTTAATAACAGATGAGGATGGAAGCCCGCTTCAATTAGCATTAGATGGAGCATGAGAACAGCTTTTGATGGTGAGTGATATGCTATATGTATTTCAGAGAAGATATTCTGGCGGGAAAAAGTTGTCCTGAAGAAAATCTTGGAAAATCGGCCATTTTTTGGCATCAATCTAATAGTCCGATGTTAGCGTTGTTGGGGTAAGCCGAACGAGGTTTCTTGCCCGCCGGGTACGCATGATTTCGCTCATTCGCCCAGGTGCTCATCCCTCTTTCTTCGCTCGAAAGTGACCGTATATTTCTATACCGTCACGCATCGTACTTGGACTTGTACTTATACCAAGTTTAGCTCCCACGACACTGACTTTGAAGACAACACTGACGAGCACCTGGTTTAGAGAATTACTCTCCTCAATTTCTCTAGGGTGTTGAGCATGTCACAATTTCGTTTCATTACTGTCTTTGTCTGTCGTTGCATTCGTGTCTTTGTAATGGCGCACTGTGCACAACAGTGTATCAATAAATAAATAAATAAATAATGCATTTCCTCTTCTCTAGCTATAGACAAAAAGCTTGCTACACTGCACTTTGCGACAAGCAAAAACTGGAGAATGTTCTGTGCTTAATGCAGAACTTATCATATTATAAGAGAGGACAATGTAGACATTAACGCCGATAAACTTAAAGTCAACTTCAATATATTTTTCAAACTAACATCAACTAAATTGATCTCATAAATTTTCAGGTCTATTCGCTTAGCGATGTCAGAAATCAGTAGAGTGATAGTTTCCATATGCCAGTGACAAATGATTTTGTTGTATTCGTCACCTCTATCTAATCTGATGTTACTGTTATACTTCTGATTTGATATACTCTAAAAGGACGAAGTACGAGCGTCCTTAAATCACACTGACTAGCAACAAGAACTTGCAACAGCAACAAGAATCGTCGGAAACGTCTCGTCTTCTGTTTGGAAGAATATATATTTTATTTGGGTTCCGTTGTTGGAAGGTTACTTAGTAAAATGAGTGCTGACTTTTCTGAAGGTTTACAAGTCACCATTATGAAAACCTGTCTGTAAATGAGCAGCTAAACAAGGAGTGTCACGGAAACCGCCTTTTCTTTCGCTTTTAGAATGAACCGTTATCAGGTAATATATGTGTATGCTCTGGAAACGAGATATTTCGATACATTCATATCATGAGCAATGCCGCTTCGTTTTTTTCCTTCTTGTCAAAGTCAGATCATACCTCCGGTCGAATTGGCCACTTTAAAATGGATGAACAAAAATTATGTGCTGAATAAATGAAAAAGTAAACATGTGGGAAAATACTAAAATCGTGTTAATTTTGCTTCAATAAAAAAATACCAACATTAAGTTCGTCTGCATAAATTGAAAACGCAAGATAACGTGGATAGCTGATAGCCAAGATGTAGCGCATCGCCAATTGAGAACGGAGACCTTGTTTTTTTTGTAAGCTTGACCCTACTTGTTTCAAGCGGTATTGTCTTGAACGACGACATTGTTTTTTAGGAAGGAGAAGTTTTACAAAGCAGACAACCGAAATTGCGCGGAGGATGGGACAACATCACGACAGCGTCACCGAGAGCCACTGTACAAACTCTACGCAACTTGGCTATCCATGTGCCAACCCATCCATCAGCATTGTACTTTGTCATAACTTTTGTAGAGGTGTAGTCGCTTCCGTGATAAGATGCGCTTTCAACCGAACAAAATGGAGGTTGCTTGGAAATGCGATTGAAATCTCAAGAAATTCCTGATGTCAAAGTTTCTGAATCAAAGTTCTAAACCCGAACAATGGCGTATGACTGTAGAGGGAAACACCTAAGCGCCTATGAGCTGTTAATATAGCACTGATCCAAAATCTGCAAAACATGATCCTCCTGGTGTGCCTATTGCTGCGCATTTACTTGCAAAATCGAATTCGCAACGAGTTTTTATCTTTAATGTATCTTCCATAAGGCAAGAGCGGCCAAGCAGCGTAGT